ACAAACGATATAATTTGTGTGACCAGTAGAACAATTTTCAAAGCAGAATTAACTATGTAATGTGTGATAAAAGTGTCTAGGTTCTGTTATATTTGAATTGCATCTGGAAAATGTTGCTGCTTTCTAGTGCATATGTTCAACATGTCAGGTAAAATCAAGACAGTCAGTTTATGAAGCTGAATACATAAAATATTTCAGAACTAAATATTCCTAGATAAACCGCAAAATAGTATGTGAAATAATCATACATTGTGATGTAACTATGGTCTGTAAGAATTTTGGTTGTTAACCCCATTTCAAGATTTTATAAAGCAGTGGCAGCTTTTTAGTCAAAACATTTTATAAAAATCATTTTAAAAGATACCTTGATAACAAACTTCAGTTAAATGGTAATTGCTTCTGATTTCCCATATAAATTGCTTCTTACAAACGCTTATTTGCTAACAGTGAAACTGCTGTTTACAACATATAACACACTGTATAAGTGCTTTATTTGATAGCAAGACAGGTGAACCTGTTTAAAACATTAAATATCTAAGATGTTTACATGTGTATAACAAAAAAAAAAGAATTGCTGTGCTTTTTTTAGATGTTCGTGTGACTCATACCAGAATAAAAGAATAAGCGCATGTTGAAGTTATCCCTAAACACATACTGGGTAAGTGTTATTCGGGAAAATATTCTACATTACATTATTTGTAGACTATATTAGAAAAACATGCTTAAGGGCCTATAATTGCCAACATCCACTTTATTTGATCTTTGTTGGATAGTTGTCTCATTGGAAATCATACCACATCTCTTAATTTTTATATTCATACAAAAACTTTCCTCCAGAACCAGATACACTGTTCGAATGAAAGGTGCTATGGAATTTATGTCACTGAAACATAAGTAGCAACCTGAAAACCATAGAAAAACCTCAAAAAGATGTATGTGTACTAAATCCATTGGAAGTTGGATGTGAACTCACAGATAGTTTAGTATTTTGTTAGTTAGTAGAACGTGCTATGTATCGATCTGATGAGTTAAAGGGGCATTAGCTACAAGATATAAAAAATAAATTAAGTATGATTTGTTTTGTTCAATCATTAATGAAAGTGAAATTGTGAAATAATAATTCGCTTTTAGCAGCCAGTTTGGTTCAATTTTGTCAAAATAGGCTAATAAACATCGCTGATGAATTATTCATTTGCAAGTGAATAATTCGACCTCATTGAGTCCGTATTTGTGTGACCTTCAAGCTACCCCCTATCTACAGATTGGTTACGCTTGCATTGGGCGTGTCCCGTTATTAAAAGGAAACGAATGTCAACATTGAAAGTGAAACAAGGGTAAACCATTTGATTGACTGATTCGATCCACAAAAACTCATTCATATACAGGTACAAAAGATGATTAACATATAGTTTCAGCCTATAAAATGAAATCAAACAGACCTAGAAAAATCCAATTGCAGGAGTTCTCTATCTATTTGTATCTATTTTTATGTTAATATCGGGTTATATGACCGTCGGCAGTCTTCGGAGGTCATTTCGATGGTTAACTAGATGGCTTCTAGACAAAGATACACACGAAATCCGGTTTCATATTATCGAGCCAGTGCATTGTACATTGTTTTCTTTATACTTTTTATAATTTGGATATACGTTTTAGTATGTTATAAATCAAATATGAGAATTTGAGTCATATCGATGAACATGAATTTGATCTCTGATAGAAACTTATTGACGTTTATGCCACAACTTCTTATTTTTATATAGGGATCAATTTTTAGTCATCGAAAATAAAAATATCAATCCCTTTTGTTAGTTGGGGTGTCGGAATGTCAGACGTCCGACGAAAGATTTCCTAAATTTTGTTAAAGACTTCTGTTAATATGCTTTCAAATTTAGATATAAAATCTTGGATTTTTACAGGAGAAATGTAAAATTATTGTGGAAACATTGAATAATATAATTGTATTTCATAAATACTTCCGAAACATCAAATGAAAAAAGGGGGTCAGCGGCTTTATTTTCTTGAAAAAAAAGAATTATCTGGCCTTGACTTTAAAAGAATTTTTTCTGAAAAATTAAAAATACCATTAACGACACTTAATTTGTGATAGCTTAATCTTTTTATTTAGAAGTTTCGGTGTTTCTTTAGTTTATTGAATGACACTTGGTTAAATATGTTTAAAGCAAATAAGTATTTTTGCAACATGCCCAGAAGGAATGCTCAGAAAAGGACATTCGATTTACCTTTCTCATTCCCATCTCAACTTGTTGAATTAATTACACAAACTGAGCATAAAAGAATTCTTCAATTTATAATGATAAGTGATAGACGTTGCTCCAAATCTCTTCCGACACTTAGTGTTGGGACCTCGACCAAGTCAAGAAACTGTGTTTCAAATTGTTCCTATAAGCATTATATTTAATATAAGATATATAGGGACATATCTTTTTTGGAATATACCTCGCTGTTAAGTACATTTGTTCTTTTCTTTTGAGCTAACAGTGAACATTATTCTTGAAAAGGATTACAGGATAAATTTGTTATAGTAAAAGTTCAATGATAAGTTAATATTGATATTGAAAGACCTTCGAACAAAAAAGGATGTTGAGATCCCCGAGCTCGAAGGGCGAGGAGATTTGAACAGCCCTTTTTGTGAGGAGGTCTTTTAATGTCAATATTAACTTAATCATGGAACTTTTACTGATTTAGTTTTAGGATAGTTTTATAAAATTAAGAGGTAAATTTATATTTTTGAATTCCAACTTTTCAAAATAACGATTTACAACTGACCAATGAATGCTCTGCACAAAAATTTCTTGTTATATATATTTGATGTTTTTAATCTGTCAGTAATCATGAAATAGATTCGTAAAAACCATATGAACACGGTAAGTAAACTCCCTCCAACAATTAATTTATTATTTAAACAGCTTGTTTCACAACGTTTAATCGAACAGACCTAGATGCATAAGGTCCTTCACATTATTCTTGTAAATGCAACATAATTAGTGTTGTCCAATAAATAAATAAATCTTGTTTTGTTTGTGGTTTTTAAAACGAAAAAAAAGTGCACGAAAACTTCAATGAATAAAATCGTATTAAATAGCCTAAATGTAATATCCTTAGCATCAAGTTATTTAGGGTTGAGTGGCTTGATCAAAACTTGTATGGATGATATATTTTCGCAAGGTCGATCATCATTTTTAAATTGAAATAAAATGTATTATATGAAAATAAACAAATTTATTTAGTCTTTACTTTAGACTTCTCCCGTCCGACAGTATACCCTTGTTAAAGGGGGTGCGTCCGTTTGACTGTTCGGATGTATGAATACGCAGCTTCGTTCGGTCGAAATAGAAATGTAGTATATCCGATGCCTGTTGTAGTGAGAGTTTCACGTTTTCTATACGTTAAATAATTATTTGAATAACTCTTTGAGGGAAAAAACGATGTACGCACAAGTTAGATAATAGAAATCTCTAAACAACAATAAAGGTCAGCTTAATTTCAAATAAGTTGCATGGCTGATTTTAACACATTTTCCGCCTTTTGCAAGGACAATTGTAGATGAAATAAAAACTGTAAATAACAAAACCGATCAGTAAGACAATATCTCAAAAATTACTTTTTTTGTAAATAAATTCCATTTGCAGTCAACATTTCTTGTTTCAGACAGGTTTGTATTTCTACTCAAATATCGTCTGTTTATTGATCTGATATATTAAATCAACCAAAAGCACATTGATTCTCTGAGATGTGTAAATCATGGCATTTCGCTGGCTGTTTTTCCCGATGGTATTTTGGACCACCTGATTCTAAGAGGGCGTGTCTAATTAGTCATGCACGATTAACTTTTATTTAATTGAACCTCAACTTAAACGCCTACACCGGGATGATAAGTTCGAGGTACAATAAGTGAACAAAAGAGATCCATTATGAAATTAGATCGCCCCAGGTATTTTAGATAATTATTTTGCGTTGAATAACAATAAAAAATGCACGAACAGGATTGTAATGTAAAAAAAATCAGTCAAATGTTTTAACTTTCTTTAAAACCATGATCTTTATTCATAATATCAGATTTCTATGTCTAAATAAATATGGTATTAATTGCTGCTAAAGATTGGGGTTGAAAATTGACATGTTATTACATATCAGTTCAAGAGTACGGGGTGAGTAGTACAACATATTTCCAGTTTGGTTACTTTGTGTCATCACATTCAAATTGTAAATCAGTTATAAAACTAATGTGTAAAATTTAACCAAGTTATGATAATTCATTTGTTTTAAAGGAGTTCTTTTTTTTTTCAGAACAGTTTGAACGACGCTTGAATCAGTGGAAGGTGGATGACGAAAAATTTGTCAGGATAGCAGCAGAAAAACAAGTAATGAAACATATTTTGACAGAAAGTTCAGTTACAATTGTCGGAAACTCGGGGACTGGAAAAAGTTTTCTTTTACGTCATGTTGCACTGGCGATGATGAAACAAGGCTATATCATAATTCCATGTGATAATCCTGGAGATATTAGACAATGGTTTGAGCATGGAAGGAAAACAGTATTTGTATTTGATGATGTTTGTGGTCGGTATATTCTTAATCAACAGATTTGCAATGAGTGGATACAGAGGCTTGAACACATTCAGTTTTTACTTGAAGACACCTGTTGTAAAATTATGTCTACGTGTAGACTAGATGTTTATAAAAACGAGCAATTTAGACGATTGTCTATTTTCAAAACGAGTAGTATTGATTTAAGTTCGGAAGAATTCAAACTTAATGCAGCTGAAAAATTGGCTTTAGCTGAAGTGTATTTCAAGGAAAATGCGGATAAAATTACAGAATTGTCAGAAAAGTATGAATTTTTCCCACTTTTATGTAATTTGTACTATAAACAGCAACCTCCAAAAAATGTAAACATTAGCGATTTTTTCGGCAATCCTTTTGGTGTTTTTCAAAATGAACTTGATGACTGGTATAGTGAAGGTAAGGCTGGTAAGATGAAATATTGCAGCTTAGTTCTTTGTGTATTGTTTAATAACACATTAACAGAAGAAAACCTTAACACAAAAGATAAAGAGATAGGGGCAGTACTCGAAGATTTACTTGAGGAATGTGAACTGAAGAAAGTAACACCAGTCAAAAGTTTAAAGAAATCACTTGAAACACTTGAAGGTACCTATGTGGTCAAGGAAGATAGCACATATAAAATAATTCATGATAAATTGTTTGATTTCCTAGCCAAGCATTTTGGGGAGAAGATGTTACAACTTTTCATTGATCATGCTCATACTGATTTCATAAAAGAACGGTTTGTATGGAAGACAGCAGATAGAATTGATACAGCTATAGATTTTGCCATAGGAATACCCAATAACCTTATCAATAAATATATAGATAGACTGCTAAAGGATTGGGAGAATGGTTTTATAATCAAGGTATTTGCTAACAGAAACATGAATTCTCTCAAATTTACAGAAACTTTCATAAGCTCTATAAACAAATTGGATCAGCCAAAGCAAGAAGAACTTGCTTCCACAGAAGACGTTGAATTAAAATTGACAGCACTTGGAATTACTTGTTTATATGGTTTTGGTAACCTTGTAAAGTGGTTGATTAGTAGGAACAGTGACATTTATCATTGTGAAGAGGATGGTAATTTCCCTTTGATTTTTGCATGTGTAAACGGAGATGTTGATGTTGTTAAAGAACTGCTACAGCATGCAGCAGACGTAAATCAGTGTGCAAATGATGGAGAATCACCTTTGTTTGTAGCAAGTGAAGAAGGACATGTTGATGTTGTTAAAGAACTGTTACAGCATGCAGCAGACGTAAATCAGTGTGCAAATGATGGAGAATCACCTTTGTTTGTAGCAAGTGAAGAAGGACATGTTGATGTTGTTAAAGAACTGTTACAACATGCAGCTGAAGTAAATCAGTGTGACAAATATGAGGCATCACCTCTGTATACAGCCAGTCAGAATGGACATGTTGATGTTGTGAAAGAAATATTACAACATTCAGCAAACGTCAATCAATATGATAGCGATGGTGTTTCGCCTTTATCAAGAGCTTCTTATTTTAACAAGACGGAAGTTGTAAAGGTACTTCTTCAGTGTGATGGGATGGATATTGATCTATGTGATCAAAAAGGGCGTTCTTCACTTTATTGGGCAAGTCTGGAAGGACATGTTGATGTTGTTAAAGAACTGTTACAACATTCAGCAGACGTAAATCAATGTAACAATAATTGTGAATCCCCTCTGTATAAAGCCAGTCAGAATGGATATGTTGATGTTGTTACAGAACTTTTACAACATTCACCAGACGTCAATCAATGTAGTAATGATGGTGTTTCACCTTTATCAAGAGCTTCCTATTTCAACAAGACAGAGGTGTTAAAGGTACTTCTTCGGTCTGATGAGATAGATATCAATATATGTGATGAAGATGGACGTTCTTCACTTTATTGGGCAAGTCTGGAAGGAAATGTTGATGTTGTTAAAGAACTGTTACAACATTCAGCAAAAGTAAATCAATGTAACAATAATTGTGAATCCCCTCTGTATAAAGCCAGTCAGAATGGATATGTTGATGTTGTTACAGAACTTTTACTACATTCACCAGACGTCAATCAATGTAGTAATGATGGTGTTTCACCTTTATCAAGAGCTTCCTATTTCAACAAGACAGAGGTTTTAAAGGTACTTCTTCAGTCTGATGAGATAGATATTAATCTATGTGATGAAAATGGACGTTCTTCACTTTATTGGGCAAGTCTTAAAGGACATGTTGATGTTGTTAAAGAACTGTTACAACATTCAGCAAAAGTAAATCAATGTAACAATAATTGTGAATCCCCTCTGTATATAGCCAGTCAGAATGGATATGTTGATGTTGTTAAAGAACTCTTACAACATTCACCAGACGTCAATCAATGTAGTAATGATGGTGTTTCACCTTTATCAAGAGCTTCCTATTTCAACAAGACAGAGGTGTTAAAGGTACTTCTTCAGTCTAATGAAATAGATATTAATCTATGTGATGAAAATGGACGTTTTTCACTTTATTGGGCAAGTCTTGAAGGACATGTTGATGTTGTTAAAGAACTGTTACAACATGCAGCTGAAGTAAATCAGTGTGACAAATATGAGGCATCACCTCTGTATACAGCCAGTCAGAATGGACATGTTGATGTTGTGAAAGAAATATTACAACATTCAGCAAACGTCAATCAATATGATAGCGATGGTGTTTCGCCTTTATCAAGAGCTTCTTATTTTAACAAGACGGAAGTTGTAAAGGTACTTCTTCGGTGTGATGGGATGGATATTAATCTATGTGATCAAAAAGGGCGTTCTTCACTTTATTGGGCAAGTCTGGAAGGACATGTTGATGTTGTTAAAGAACTGTTACAACATTCAGCAGACGTAAATCAATGTAACAATAATTGTGAATCCCCTCTGTATAAAGCCAGTCAGAATGGATATGTTGATGTTGTTACAGAACTTTTACAACATTCACCAGACGTCAATCAATGTAGTAATGATGGTGTTTCACCTTTATCAAGAGCTTCCTATTTCAACAAGACAGAGGTGTTAAAGGTACTTCTTCGGTCTGATGAGATAGATATCAATATATGTGATGAAGATGGACGTTCTTCACTTTATTGGGCAAGTCTGGAAGGAAATGTTGATGTTGTTAAAGAACTGTTACAACATTCAGCAACAGTAAATCAATGTAACAATAATTGTGAATCCCCTCTGTATAAAGCCAGTCAGAATGGATATGTTGATGTTGTTACAGAACTTTTACTACATTCACCAGACGTCAATCAATGTAGTAATGATGGTGTTTCACCTTTATCAAGAGCTTCCTATTTCAATTAGATAGAGGTGTTAAAGGTACTTCTTCAGTCTGATGAAATAGATATTAATCTATGTGATGAAAATGGACGTTCTTCACTTTATTGGGCAAGTCTTGAAGGACATGTTGATGTTGTTAAAGAACTGTTACAACATGCAGCTGAAGTAAATCAGTGTGACAAATATGAGGCATCACCTCTGTATACAGCCAGTCAGAATGGACATGTTGATGTTGTGAAAGAAATATTACAACATTCAGCAAACGTCAATAAATGTGATAGCGATGGTGTTTCGCCTTTATCAAGAGCTTCTTATTTTAACAAGACGGAAGTTGTAAAGGTACTTCTTCAGTGTGATGGGATGGATATTGATCTAGGTGATAAAAAAGGACATTCTTCACTTTATTGGGCAAGTCTGGAAGGACATGTTGATGTTGTTAAAGAACTGTTACAACATTCAGCAGACGTAAATCAATGTAACAATAATTGTGAATCCCCTCTGTATAAAGCCAGTCAGAATGGATGTGTTGATGTTGTTAAAGAACTTTTACAACATTCACCAGACGTCAATAAATGTAGTAATGATGGTACATCACCTCTATTCATAGCAAGTCAGAATGGACATGTTGATGTTGTTAAAGAACTGTTACAATATTCAGCAGACGTAAATCAATGTGACAATGATGGTGAATCACCTCTGAATGTAACATGTAGATGTTGTTAAAGAACTATTACAACAATCACCAGACGTCAATAAATGTAGTAATTATGGTGTTTCATCTTTATCCAGAGCTTCTTATTTCAACAAGACAGAGGTTGTCAAGTTACTTCTTCAGTGTTATGAGGTAGATATTAACCTCTGTGATGGTACTTGATGTTCTGCACTTTATTTGGCAAGCCAAGAAGGACATATTGGTGATGTAAAAGAACTGTTACAATATTCAGCTGAGGTAAATCAGTGTGACAATATGGGTACATGTCCTCTGTTTATAGCAAGTCAGGAAGGACATGTGGATGTAGTTAAAGAATTATTACAACATTCAGCAAATGTAAATACATGTGACATTCAAGGTAGAAATTCTCTTAATATAGCTCGGTTGCACGGGCACAAGAAAGTAGAATCAATACTATTAGGTAAAGGTGCAAATCAATTCTAATGTCACAATGATGAGTTCCCTATAAAGGATGTGTTCGTAGTCTTTTGTTTTTGGACAAATCTATACAAATGTTTCATACTGTGTATTCTTTATCCTAGATCTTTGGTAGTTTCGGATTAGATTATTCACAACATTGGAAGAAGATCATGCTATTTCATATACGATATTTTTAATTGTACGTTAGAAATTTTGAAATCATTTAATTAATCTCTAGATTTTTTATTGTATTGGTAGGTTGCTGTCTTATTGACATATAACCTTATCTCCTGTTATTCACATATACATTTAGTTTTGATAAATAATTTAACTTAATTCCATGGGGATTATGTAAATGAAAAAATAAACGTAATTTCCTGCAGTGTCAAGAAATGAGACTAATGTAACTAGGTGTAAATATGTGTACATTTAGGAATAACAGTATTGTATTTGAAGAGTTGCTACCGTTAATTGGAGATTTGGTAATCGTAAATGCAGTTTTATTGGCGACGCTTAGCAGAGAGAGTAAAACGGATATCTTCAATAGTCAGCAGCAATACGTTTATTTAAAGAATTGATAAGTTTTTTTTAAGCGTCAACTTTTCAACTACAGCACTATTATTCCAAGTTTAAAGGATTTCAAAAAGAAATAATACGTTAGAGTTGAAACAAATTCTAGATAGATTAAAACTCCGCGAAACTTCATGGATGATTTTAACGCAAAGACGTCATGACAAAACTTGACGTCATACACTATCACATGCATCATGTATAAACATGATAAACCTGTAGAAGTTACTAATTCTAACATGATGATCATAATTTTAGTGTTTGCGTTACTTTAAAATTTATTTAGTTACTATAAACACGTAATTAATGAAACTTAATATACTGATGTAGATATTCCCACTGATTATTTTTTAGCATCGAATTTACTTACTTTTGTTCTTTTAGCATTGTTTTAAATTTCTTACCATAGCTAATGTCTCTTTAACGTGTAATAAAAAGATAAATAATGGCCTGCTGTAAATATATCCCCTTACCACCTATTCTTTTATAATAATTTTAATATTTTAAAGAGAAGGTTTTTATATTTGAATACCGTGTGACAAAGGTTCTCCGATGCGGAGGAATTTACGAATAAAAGGTACACAAATGAGAACTGACAAACTGCAGGTTATAGCGTTACTTCCACGATTCAAATTTGGACAAAATCATTTCAAAACGGTGTTTATGTGGTAGGTGTTGTATTATTCTTTATGGTCCTGTAGTCAAAAAACATTTATTGATCCAAGCAATTCAAAATGGTTGGTCTCTTCTTAGTTACGACATATCAACTGATGATTTGATGGTAATTTTTAGGCAATGAAAAACATTGTTACATACAAAATGCATTAGAATTACCAATTTGTTCACTTGGAAGACATACAATGTTCGCAATTTCTGAAAAAATTTAGAAGAGTGTACAACCAGTGAAATAATTTTTTCGAATTCAATTTTCTTTTGTCATGCGAAATTCGTATTAAAATTTTGAAACTGGCGTACAAATTAAGAAAAGAAATATATAAAGAAAGAACAGGTTAAGCAATCAGAACGAATCTTGACTAAATACAGTTTATTTCGATTGTTTGGAATTAAAGCCAGAATAAAAAAAATATGAACTATTAGTGCATATAATTCTCTATAATTATTTTCTTCCTTTCAGTCAGTTATTAAATTGATCAACTTTGAAATATTTAAGAAGATAACATGTAAATATTTTATCTTTTCTCCCGTAATTTTATTATTTGCAAGTCTTACGTTTATAATTAATATTACTCTTTTGTTTGTTGAATTGTACCAATGGATTGCGATCAATATATTTAAAGACCCTAATCATGTATATAGTATAAATAAGGCTGTTAGTTTTCTCTATTTAATTTTTACAGTGACCTGGAAGTGTTGTACGTTTGTCTTTAGTGGATTGGTGTTTCATTGGCAATCATACAACATCTCCTTAGTATGATCAAAAGGTGTTCCATTGTTAGAACTACAAGCATATATTGTATATTAGTGTTAAATATTTTTTCATTTGCATATCTACATACATATTAATTCCATGATTATTATTGCTGACACTGTAAAGTCATTAGTAGTCGTTGAATACAAATTCTTTTGTGGAATTCGTGGGTTCAGGTGAACCACGAAATTAAATTTCAACGAATTACAAATTTTCTATAAGGCTATAAGCAGATTTTGGCAAAACTGCGAAATCAAGTATACTCGAAAAATATATGTTTTCCTCCAACCACGAAAGTTGGTACCCACGAAAATGAATAAATTCACAGTGTTTAACTAACCTTTGTTGATAATATATATATATATATGTGTGTGTGTGTGTGTGTGTGCTCACCCGTCAATGTTCGTGTCATTTGTCAATGATATGCATAAGTTCTGTTTAAGTCATTCAATTATTACTCAAAAAGTCAATTAGCACAAGCAAACATTTCCTGCATGGATATTTTTACTTTGTAAATGACTGCACAAATATGTACAGAAATCAGTTAGCCTTGATAAGCCTGAATATTGATCGTGAGTTATGAACAGTTAATAAAGGATGATAAATTCGGAGCCATAAGAGTACGACGACAGTACAATAACACGAAGAGGGCATCCATGACATCGTTCTAATTTACATTTATGTGGAAGAGTTTTTATTTGCCTTTATTTCGCTGTATAAATACAACATGTGGACTGTATAATGTCAGGTTACTTTGCATAACATTTGCTGATTTAGAATTGTTTTCTTGTTTTTTACCTAACAATTAATGTTATTTCACAAGTATAAACTTGAAAATATAACAAAGCTCAATACAGCATAGATGTTAGTCTGTTGTGGAAGGTTTTATGTTAACAACTATTTGACTAAAATTGTTTGTATCGTTTGTTTGTCACTTTTGATCATTTATTTTTTATGGTAACGATGTGAAAATATGTGTACTTTTTCAAGATTCAATATGTATGTATCTAAGTGAACACATTTTATGATAATATGTCAGTTATTCCAAATCATCGGTTCACATTTCACTAATATAGACAGAACTCCCTAATTTATTTTCCAATTGACTTATTTCAATTGTAAAGGGAAGTAACTCTTGCAATTATGTTTTATGATAGATTTTACTGTAAATGTTCTTTTTTAAATAGGACTGATTACGCAACTACAAAGACATTATTCTTGTACGCTCTACAGGCTAGTTTTACACCTTTAATTCTAAAATCAGGTATTAGCTATACTTCTACATATTTGCATTGCTACTGTATAGGAATTTTATAGAACTGGTACACGTAGTCTGAAAACAAGCTTGGCTTGGTATAACATGTGTTCAAATATTGCACAAGTAGCATGAAATATATAAGCAAAGTTTAAAACTAATCTAAAATCCACCAAACGTCCAATGTTGTTATTGAAATTTTGCTTGATAGACATGTTCTGAATAGAATGATGTAAGACAATTGTATATATCTAATTCATTGTAATTGGTTTAAGTTGTTACGTAGTCTTATTGTATTTGAGGACATCTATACAAGCAACCTTGGCATGTAGATGTCTTTGTCCACAGGCAGTGCAGTAACTTATATCCCATTAACTCTGAAACGTTGTTTGTTACATCTTTGGGACTGCAACTTTACTTTAAAAGACAAAAGTCATGTCACCCATATATCATTATCCAAATATTTATTTTGTTGAATGTTTATGTCCTAGTTGGTTAAATTTCTGTATGAGTTAATATTTTTGCCACTATTTATACGTAACGTATAAGGATGAACTAAATTGAGTTCATACATAGATATACGAAAATGTGGTATGAGTGCCAATGAGACAACTCTCCATCCAAGTCATAATTTGTAA